CTTGATTTCCAGGACAAAGTTGTAATGAGTACATGTTCTTTCTAACAGAGGTATTCTCTTGTGAGACCCGCGGCGCAGGTCACCTAAAATAGGATCTTCTCCGTAAAATTATTCCGATATATGGCCTCTACCCGGCGCTGCCACATAATCTAGAATTTCTTTGTAAGTGAAAGAGGTACTACCCGTTCGCGCTAAGTTTGCCGGTCCGTGGAATGCGCGTCCCCTCCCCAACCACGATTAAACTCAATTAGTTAGTGATTAAACGCAATTTTATCAATATTAATAAATAAAAAATATTTTCAATATAGTTTGCTATAGTTATAGACGCTTCCCTTCGAGTGACGTCATGTCGCCAGCGGCAAACTTATCGCGAACGGATAGTAGACATAGCTCAATAATTATTTCGATATCCGTTTGTAAAGTAGGACCCTGTAGAGACATCTTACAAAAATGTTATATCGTAAATAAACTTATGTTAATATAAATTTACTTACGTACATTGCAAATACGAGTATCACAAAACGTACTTAAAAGGCTCGCAAGCAGTGAGTAGAAAATACGAACTCCAAAAAACTAAGTAAACTGTTTGTAAACTATAGTGGATAAATGCTTTTATTCCCAAGTGCCGTCTGTTTGAATAATGGGCTGTTTTATTCCCAGTATCGCGAATGTAAAAATGTTTAAAGATAACATCCCTGTGATTATTTTACTTCTAAGCTGTTTCATTTTTTTTAGTGTAATTCATTCTAGTACAATCACTTTGAATTATATAAAAAAAAACTACATACCTAATTGTACTTAATAAAAATAAAGATTATTATTCAATTAATACTATTTTGAAATTACAAAACAAATAATTCTAATAAATATCAAAATGCTGTTAAATTTAATGTTATTCAAATACTCGTTAGGTATCATTAAAACAACAACCGAAACTTAGTAACTGCCGATCGATTGTAAAATGTTATCGCACAAAGCTCGGTGTTCCTCTTAACCTGTAAACTTGATATTAGTATTACTTACTCGCCAAGTTTGTGGGCGGCTTTGTCGAAACGATCATTGTTCCATAATTTATCGGCTGTTGCTTGCGACTTCAGATTGGCCGGGAGGTTTAATATTTAATTATCACGTTTCCCGGGCCCTTGATTGACATTGATTTTCTTTCATCGCCCTGAATCTTTATTGAAAGATGTTATTTATTTTGCGATGTTGATTTTAACTCTATGGATTGACTTCATGGAGTGAATTAGCAGTGGTTTTGAGAAAAGCGAAAGAGGAGCCGTTACAAAGTTCAGACCAAAAGTTTTATCGATTAGAAACGTAGTCATAAGAATAATACGAGTACAAGCCATTTGAACAGTGCGGTCGGGCATCACTGTCCGCGGGGATAAACAGGCGGACAGCTAGAATGGATTAGTGGTAATTGTCGTAATAAGAAAAGGCATAAAACTAATTTAACAGTGGAGACTTGTTGACACTGTACTGTCAAGTCAGTGTCAAATCCATTAGTAAGTGGCCTTGATTCTGGGTGATTATTAGGCACATACCTTCTTATCTAAACATTAATATAACAGTGCTAGGAAGTAAGGAAATTGGTGACAAAAAGAAGCGAGTTTATAGACAATGCCTCCGAGTTTATAACAGTTATTTCCCAAATGATTCTCATTTTCGTTTGGGGTGACTACAGCCCAATAAAAAATGAATATTACGTACGAGTATTTAGGTTGGCTCTTGTTTGTATCATGCAGGTATATCAAAGTAAATAATATCCTCGTACATAAAGTAACGTGTCAAACGATGAATCTGTTAATGTCATCTCCAATTCATTCCAATAGCAACATTCCCATAAGTCGTCGTCGACGCAAGCCCCGGGCCCGGCTTCGTAAGTCCCGCTAAGTGCGAAGGTTGGCCGCCCCTAGACACGTGTAAATCTGCTGAGGCCGCCCCATCGCCTCGGCCCGCTGCGAGCTTGTGCCCGCGTCGCTTTACGACTCGATTTCATTCACTTGTTAAACCACCACATTCCATGTCAAGTAAATGATCTTACAGAGCCGGGAGCTGAAACCCTTTGAGATTTTATATTTATGTTTACTAAATCAGGCTGAAACAAGGATTTAAAAGTTTTTACATTATTAATATTAATCTCCAAAACCGCTTCAAAAAGCTTCCCATTTATTCCAAGAACAACAATTTTACAAAATAAGAGTTAGTATGAAAGAGACTATTTTGATAAGTCATATTTACGAACAAACTTTGAACCACGACCCTTCAGGGTCCATAAAGCAGAGTTTAATAAGCCATAGTTCGGAAACTCTAAGAGTTTAAGCCGCAGCCCCCAGGGCGACGTAAGTACTAGTTTAATAAAATAAAGTGAGTATCCAATCCATTTTGGCGGATTCCCGGCGCCCGCGAGTCCTGGAGGTCGCGGCGACACAAACCATACGTCTCGAGCATAATGAGCTAGGTCGCGGTTGCCGTGCGGGCCAGCACCAGAGAAGAACTGACACAACTGCTGGAAGGATCGTCGAATTTTAAGTGGACGGACCGACCTACTGACCATCACCAACTGCTCCTGGTTGCTGGCTGCTGCTGGTGAGTATTAAAAGTACAGCGGGGTTGGTAGAGCGGGTCACACATTTCGGAGCCTCGCAAACTCCTTAAATGATGTGATACCAAAAAGGTCATTTTTATGATTCGTGCATCTTCTGTGCATTTTTTTATTGTGTATTTCGAATTTACCTAAAAATGTTTGCGGAATCCTACCTCGCTGAGAGGGTTGTCCACAATTTCGTTTGCTTCGGTTTCTGATCAAAACCTCTAATGAAGGTGAACTAACCAAATAACAAATGTCAATAGTGTTTTCATTTTGTTTATTGAAGCTAAAGATTCAAAGCCGATAAAAGTTGACATTGAACAGTTGGTCTAAATTCGTTTGTTAGAATTAAGGGGGGTCCTTATTATTATTAGAAAAAGTATGGAAATGTAATTGAAACCAATGTTTGTCCTGGGTTTGATTTTTTTGCAATAACGTAGGGCGTGTTTTAGAGTTGATGAATCTATTAAATGTTTATGATGGTCAATTTTGAGGATTTAAAGGGCAACATGAAAAACAATTACTCAAATAAATAGAATGAGGCATCAATTACTCACGGACTCTCATGCTCCAACTTGTGCTTGGCGTAGTTTGGCGTTTTTAACTAAGTTGCCCACATTTCGCATCAAACTAATAAATCGTTTCTCGTTTTACGACTCAATTCAAAATATATATACCACTATAACTACAGTTATTATCTTAATTTTCTATTGTATTTAGACGTTTAATGATAGATATTAATATAACTACGCTTAACAACATAATCCTCTAAAGTAAAATCCCGGAGAGTTCGCAAACTTAGTTGTACTTAAGCTAGTTCTAAGCTCGCTGCTTAACAAAAGAATATTTCTGAGATAAAATCGCATAATTTGCTTATCTTAAAGAACTTGCAAGAATACTCGTATTGTCGTGACTCTGAATAAGTTTATATGAACCACGTAGTTACTTTTTATAGAAATGCATAATAAAAGATGCACCGAAATACTTGGTGTCTTGATATTAGAAATTACATATCTCGTAGATACCAGACAATCAATCCTGTGCGAGCTCTCTGATTATTTAAAAAAAAAAAGACAAGTATCGAACTACGAACTGCGTCTAAGGCGATTCTCTGCGGCGCGCAACGTTACGCATATTTATAAACTTTTATTGGTGTCTATTAAAACGCCCATTAAAGATAGCCAGTTTTCGATGGATCAATTTGGATAACGGTCGGGTGGCAAATTGCGTAGCTATATCAAGTCCCGTAAAGCGTTAAGTACAAGCACTCCACTGAGTAGTTACTTAGACTGCGCTCACGCAAGCGGATTTGCTATAAACATTTTAAATGAATTGAGAGCCAATGATACCAATCTGACAGTATAATCATAAATAACAGAGTTCTGAGATAAAATAAAATAAAATAAATAACAAGAATAGTGAAATATTTATGTAAGAATACTTTTAGCTTACAATGAAATTCCGTAGATGCTTGCGATATCAATTATATATTGGAATTGGAATATATTTAGACATTTTTATCAAAGGATTGCGCAATAAACCTTTTAGTCAAATACTAAATTCAGAAAAGCTGCCGTTGAAAATCATAAAAGGCTCTGCCAATATAATAACAGAAGTTTCGCGTATATTGTTTCTAACAAAGCGAATATCAGGTTTATAATTTACGTAATATCGGACTAAAATAGAATTGAAACTCGTGCTAGCTACCATTACTTCAAATCACAAACAAAATATTTAAGTCGTAGCCATAGACTAGTACCTACTTAATATTCAAGTTTGTGAAGATGGATGGTTTTTTCTCTTTCCGCAAATAGAAACTAGGTACCTACTGATAGGATTTGCATGAAATTACTGTATATTTATTGCATTAAAACATTGTCTTGGTAAATTAAGTAAAGAAAAGTCTAAAATACATTTTGTATTTCAAATGTTTCATAGCTTGATGGCAGGTAATATGTAGAGATTGGTGTAATCTGAAGCTTTCTGAAAAGGATTTGTTGCGTTTTAGAGATTAAACTGCCTAGATTGAACCGCGCCGAATGTTTTCACTGCTCTTTCAGCTATTTACTTTGTGTCGCGCAATAAAGAATACTCGTCATTAAAAGGCCCACTCGTCGGTTATTGTGGTTGGTTTTTATTAAAGCACTTCATTATCTTCAGGCTGAGAATTAGATCCAAAAATATCAATTGTTCTGAGATGATCGATTCGTTCGTGCCTTTGTAATCTACTTATTTAATTAGTTAGAACCCTAAACCAAATGGAAATACTTGAAGTGCTTTGTTATTAATACTAAACAAGTCAATAAGAACAACATTTTCAAGTAGGATACTTGAAACTGTAGTGTACCCATTCATTACTCACCAACTTTCTGATACAAAATTATAACAATCTAAAGTCTAAACTTACCCGCCTTCGCGTCTCAACGGTCCGCTGTTCCCAAAACTTCTTGATATTTGTTCTCGTTCACCACTTTATTAAAATACACCATACATCCTTGAGTGATATCTGAAACAGAACAAAATCAATATTAAATAAATAATGCAAATAACTCTAATCTAAAATAAATAAATTCGAATTCAAATTCTTAATTGTTCCATGTTGGTTTACAAAAGTTCTTAAAATATGAACAAATAATTAAAACTAATCTATGTAGTTATTCTAGTGGTCGCCAGTGGTGACCGAGCCAGTAACACGGCTGCCATGGTATTTCAAATGGTTTCTACCAATGGGGCTGGGTTCATCGAGCGCCGGTTATCTATCAGTTGGTCTTCCTATTGTCAGTGGTTTATCAATTCTCAGCATTGACAAGGAAGCGCCATTAATTAACTTCCTGCTAATTTGTCAATATTCCGCGAATAATTGAATGGGGTGTATTAATACATTGCATTGTTACTACGGAACCGATTTAAATGAGTGAGCATTCGTATCAATCTTGAGTTACCGTTAAAGGGAAATGGTAAATGCAACAATAATGCTCTATTTTAAAAAATATCACCGAAAATTTTAGGCTTCTCGAAGAAAGAGATTTTTTTTAAAATATAACATCCTTTTCGAGCGGGAGGCGGCATTATTTTCATGATCGGACAAATATCACTGGAATTGATTCACAACCACAATCCTAACCAAACTGATCCCGAGCACACAGAGTTGTCTTCTTTGCTTTGTGTTGCGTGAACCCGTATTATCCGCGTCAAGGACGAGATCCAAATGCGATTCGCCGATAAATAAACATGAACATTTTCCACTAACCATCTGCGAGGGCGCGGTCACGGCAGCGCGTGAAGCCGAGCGGGGATTACCATTAGATTTACCTATTACTGCCCGGAACTATTAAACAAATGAACGCAACCCGAAAACTTTAAGGAGTTTACAGACTAGGTGTACGAAAAGCACAAATAAAATGGAACTATCATTAATGTTCTTAAAAGGGCTAATAAAGAATTTGAATAATATTGCTCATCATCTTCATTAATACCTTAGGCCTTATCTTTAATACAGTAGGTACCTACGTGAACTGGAATTTAGAATTTTGGAAAACCCAGTTTTAAATATTCAATATTTGCTAAAATTTCGATTGTATGGCGATACGGTTTGTAAGTAAATATCTTGCGGGACGTATTAAAGTGGTCACTCTATTAATATTCTAGCTCTTCTTCTCTAATACTAAATCTTCATTAGATAATGAATAAATAATGTGCCAAAACCCCACAGCCTAAAAAAAGCCTAATATGAAAACGCCAAACGACCCACTGTCAGCCGTAGACCTCATTTGAAATGAAAAATTAATTATGAATTCTCTGTATCTACCCTCGCTCGACACACAAAGTATCCGCGGCTCTTTGATTGAGGACGAAAGGATCTAAATTCAATTCCAGAAGCTTAGCATAAGCCTATCTTATTTGTCTGGGAAATCACGACCCACTTATTATGTCTCGCTTTCAACTTTCGGTTTATTCTGTTTGTTTGTACTACTCCCTTCGGGTTATCCTCGTCTTAAATTGTCTGTTAGTGTCATTTTGCTGTACTGCGAGCCACCGAAAGTGTGTGTTACGGCTGCGTAGAGCGCTGCGTGGGCCTGAGCTCGCGTTGCGTGTTATAGAAAATCACTTAGCCCCGCTCTAGTAAATTTCGATCAATTTCTATGATGTTAAGAACATATTTGTGATAATGCCGCCCACATTTTTGGCAGCTAAATGGTATCGTTTTGTTGCTGTTTACTTTGTACAATAAATGTGTACAATAAAAATGAGATAAAGTTTTGATGGGCATTATAGAAAAATGTGTTTGGATTAATATTTGCTTGGGACAGTACTAACTATTAGGTATCTAAAAGGAAACAATTGACATGTTTTTTTTTTCTTACATAAATAAAGATGAAAAACAAAAAACTTTAAATTAATAAAACTCTTGAAAACTGGTAGATTGATTTAGGTGATCTCTTTTTGATTTGATGGCAATTGACGGCATACACACAGGTCTACTTATGTATAGGCACAGATCACCTTAGTTAGTCTGTATTTGTAACATGAAGTTGGTGAAAATAAAAATATAAATTATTTAAACTTTATCTCTAACTAAAGTTACCTTCAGTTAGTTAAATCAGGGACTATTCCTACCCCTCGTTTCCACCTTCGTAGCTAGATTCTACAGCTTGGCCGCCAATAAGATAATTGACCTAAAATCTCACTTGCTGTTAGTCCAGAATAACTAACATTTTAGATATCCGACCCGCATTCCACACCGAAACCACCTTTAGTTCGCTGGTAGCTCACGATAAGGATTTGTTGAATTTAAAATTTCGTTTCTATCGCAACTATCGCTTTGGCTTGGGCTTGATCTGCTCTAGACCAGGATCAGACAATCTTAATGTTCTTGTAGAAGCCTTGAACGTGAGCGCTGTTAAATATCCACTTTAAATTCATTTCATTTTTATGATAATATATTGCAAAGCGTTTGACAATATTTATGGTAAATGCCTACTTAAGTTTAAAATTCACAAAAACCGTTTTTATTAGAACAGCAGAGTTAGCTTTCAGTCTCAAGTATTAATACCTAATGTAAGCAATACTTTGGAGATTGCACGTAATATCCAAGCGCAAATAGATGTTTGGCGATCGGACCTACTTCATATTTCTTCGAACAACACACGCTCAAAAGTTTTCCCAACTCCGGCTAATGTCACTTAAGTTAACAAGCCAGGAAAGGGCTAGAGAGAGGCTTATTAAGTAGATTATTATTTGAAAGATACACTTCCACGCAACAAAGTGCTTGGGTCGCGTTTTCTATGTAAATGCATGAGTGGAACTGGACAAGACGCCACTGACAAGGAAGTCGTAAACGAAGTCTACAAAGGAGGCTTGCTTCTTTTACGACTGACCCAATTACACCATGAAATAGACAACGACTTCCCCATTCATCCATGGCAATCCTTTGGCCGACAAAGCTAACTCATTAACATACTGGAGAGCCACCGTGCCCGCGCACTCCCACGCATACCAATTAGCGGGTCGAACAATGGTTCATTAGCGACATTATGGCGGTCATCGCGGGCTGGTTTACTATCATATGTTTAAATGCGTGTGGTAGTAAGGGGTGGTCTTAAAATGAACCAGTATTTACAAAATATTGTCTAAAAATAATTTTCAATAGGTAATATTTATTGCTGGCTATCATATTGTTATACACACTTGAACCCTTAATGTTCAGCAGTTGTATTTGCAATATTGCGCAATTGTTTGTTATCCCAAATAAAATAAAATAAATAAATAAACCCTGCGAGCACTTTATTTAATAATTGACTCAAAACTCTTAACAAGTTTTCAACATTCTTAAATCAATAAAAAATGCGATGTCATATGTAAGTTATTATTTCTCTAAAGAGTGTTTGAGGTTTTGGATACAAAAAGGAACACGTTGTGTATATGTAGCCTAATTTCCAAATTCTTAATTATTATATATGTATGTGTTTAAATTGAAATAAGAAACGTGCATATTGCACACCCTGTATACATTGAACTCATGAAGTGATTGCTATTTTATTCGTTTTGCGCGCACGTACGCGCAGTATTTATCCAAAGATTACATCATTTCATTGATTGTGTCGGATAGGCTACGCCACCACACTTCATAACATCATAACTCTGCTGTGAAGCACGATAGTCGATGCACACCAACTACGAGTATGTCAATATTGTCAATGTAACAATATCTAACCGTGTTATTGGAACAAAAGCAAGATGACAATGCATGCACATAATATCTATGCATGCAGACGAACTGGCGCAGTCTCCTCCGCGATCAAAATGCGAATGGCGCGATGTGTGACCAGCTGCAAATTGACACAATTTTTCAATCTCCTCAATTCAGACTCAGCAAAAAGCAATTTGAATGTAGGGCCGTGGCCTTTCTACGGGCGGGGAGAAGTTCTGATGGATCATATTTTCCCACTAACATGGTAAAATAATGCTCCGTCCTTTCGGATATCAAGCTCGCTCGTCTATATTCTATTTTGTCGTCAAACTTCTTATGAGCGCGATACGATGAAAATAGTGGCTAGTGACGATGGTTTTTCGATAGCATCGAAAAACCGGTTGGGTCATAAAAACTAATCTACATTTGAGGAAAGATGCATATTTTTATTTAATAGTTTTTGGTATTAGGAGTTCCAGGCAATGGACAGACTTCGTATTAGGTACTTACGTACAGGACAAAATTATTCTTGCGTATTTGTGTACGTATTAATGCATTAAATACTGCCAGAGCACGACTTGCAATCATCGATAGTTATTTTATCGATAAGTACACAGTTCCCGTCACTAGATATAAACGCTGGCGCGATACTCCGGGATTCATTGGCCGTAAGCGTGCGAGTGATGCGATGCGAAGTATACAGAGTGTTGATTTCATTGTTCGGAATATTTACGGAGGGAGCTCATCAATGCGAATGACTTGTATGGGTCAACAACAACGTCGTAAAAACGGTCATGCTCCATCACTGTCGAGATACGCATAATTTTGTAGGGTGAGGCGATAACTCTTGAGAACCCAGAGATTCTATATTAAGAATGAATAAGTAGAAAATCCTTATTTTATGACTTTTTACTTGATCTTGATAAAAAAAATCTCATCTCGTGGAGAAGTGAGCTTGACTGAAGATGTCTATTTAAGATCCCTAGCATACATACTCTCCTGGAGTATTTAATGGACATCCTGTACCCTCTACAGTGGGCCCGGCAGGATTAGCCCGGGAGCCGGCGCGGCGCCGCGGCTCGGGCCGTCGAGAGCTGAGCAAGCTTCCCGGTATACTCATTAATGGCCACTAAGAGCGTTGCCACATAAACCCAAGCGGTACTTACTGCTCAATCTGCTTTGGCCTATACAATACCTAATAGTTTAGTTTATTAGCTAATAGTTTTTACTTTTTATGAGCTGTAAAAATTCTGTTTTTCCGTCCTACACACAGGAATAAAAGGTTTTATCATGATATCATGCGTAAAGCTTTCGTG